ATTATGCTGCAGAAACAGTTTCAGATGGGTAGCACTACCATTCTTATCAGAGCATATTGATGTAAATGATATGAACACTTCCACTGATTGTGGTGAATCATCCTCTCTTTCAGGCTTTCTACCCAATAGATCATCCGGTAGATGTGAGCTATGATGACATCCTGGCAGCCAGATGTGTGTTCAGTGGGGAAGGTAGAACTACAGAGACACATATAGGGTAAATATTGTCTGTTTGCTCCTAACTAAGTTTTTCCAGGGTACTGGTTATATGAAGAAATGTATTTGTTTCATGTCTTCTTCCAAGGTAATTCTAAGACATGTTTTCTGCCAGAATGTTTTGTTTTGCTTCTAGTCTATTCAAGATTTAACTGTACACAATGTTCATTGACTTTACTTACATGAATATTCACTTTGCTGAAGTGTTCAGAACATTTCTCCAGTGAAGTTTTGCTGCCAAACACCTTAGTCCGATGTTGGGCTGATTTGCACTTAGAGAAGGATAGACAATATCAATTCTAGAAAATACATTTTTAACAAGGTGACATTATTGACTGTTTATAGTGAAATAATAAAGCTTCCCAATTTCTCTGCATTGTTCCAGAAAAAAGTTTAGAAGCTTATAAAATTCGGATAGTTAAACCTATTGTAAAATCTAACCTTAAAAATTTGGACCAGTACACCAGTTACCTTTTTTCCATATAAAAATACACAGACTTTTACGAAGAACAGTCAAACCAGAAATTAATAATAATGATAAAAAGGAAAATCTGAATGTTGTTAGTCAGTGATGCTATTCCGGTGCAGATGGCAGACGCGGCCCTACAAGATCAAGTTGACAAATACAGCTGTAAAAATAGATGTAATATTAATATTAATACTCTCTTAACTGTCTCTGGCTCTTTGAACTGTAATCTATTTCATATGTAGAGATATGAAGATGCCCTGCAGAAATCTTTCCAGTCTGTGAGTATGTGCTGCAGCATCCCAAGGAAAGAGATTTTAGTGCACTGAGAACCCTAAAATTGCATCTCAGTAGAGGGTTCAACATGGATTTATGACCTTGCACTGAATAGTTAAAATACTGATGAGTAACAGCTGAGGCAAAATGAGTTGAGAAGAGGTTTTTACAAAGGTCATAACACTAAAATAAAAAATAAAAAAAAAATTATCTAAACCTCTAATTTAATTGCTGATCTTTTATTTGCATTGTATTATTATACTTTACCACAAGTTTTACTTCATCCCACTGTGAGGTGGGCAGGACTGGGAAGAGTGAGGGCCTTTGTGGTACTTAGTTGCCATTTGTAATTATAGGAGCACAAATGCTTAGACACAGTAACACGTGTGAGGTGAACCAGGTTTCATGTGGTTTCCATATCACCTTTTCTGTTGGAGTTTTGAAGAGGAAGCAATTATAGTGACAGGTATTGGAGGTCCAGCAGTGAAGTTAACGCTTTCTAAGAGCTTAAGCAGAGCTTGCCCAGTCAGAGCCTCATTTTTGTGGTCTCCAAGGGATGCTAAACTTTCAATGCATGGAAAAATACCAATTCCCTTTTTGAAACAGTGTCTTCTCCTATGTTCCCCCTGTCTCGCCTCTGGCTTGTATCATTATTGTTGCTATGGTGAACAAATGAATGCTACAGGATGCTGCTGGAAAAGTCAGTGCTGACGTCTTTTGCAAACAGCTAATAGGCCACCCCTGTATCTCTTTTATAAGTGTGGCTCACTGGTTAGTTGTGAAAGTTAATTAAAAAATCTCAATGGAAACCCCTTTATTGTGGAAACTTTTCTTTAAAATCCTAGTTTATTCCATTATTAGGATTGTAGCTCTAAATAAAAGGTGGCAGAGGAAAAAACAGGAACAGATCACAGTTGTAAAGAGGCCCTGTATGGTCTGCTTCACAAAGTAATATTTTTCAGAAAAAAATCTTCCTTGCACCAACTGTTTTTTCTATTGAAGACAGGATTATGTAGTGGTAGAAAAGAGCCTCTTCTGTTTCAAATACATGCACAACATTTATCAAAGAACTGTATTTTGCTAGTGTTTAATCATTCCTTTTGCACTCATGTTTTTGTTACAGAAGCTTACGAACAAGTTATTCTCAAGATGACAGTGCTATTTTCTCTTTAAGAGATACTTATGGTGTGTTAATATGTAATGAAATTAAGTTTTGCTGCATTAGAACCAGTGTGAACATGGGGACGGGGGAAGATTTGTCGTAAAAGATAGCCACTGACATCAAACATAGATGTCACTTGCATTAATTTCAAATTACATTTGCCCAAGATTGACAGAGAAGTGTATGAATAGTGATGTAATAAATGATGCAATTCTGTCATATTTCAACAGAATGTGTGCATAGTTAATATTCTATTAAACAAGTAGGATTAATTAAATAACAGTTATATTCAGATCCTTTTTTCTAACTGCCACATCTTTTCTGTTGTGTAGGGGTACGGCCAATGATGAAATGTGTAATTTTTACATTATGTACTATATGGAAGCCAAGCATGCTGTCTCATATATGACGTGCACTCAGAATGCAAACCCTGAGATGTTCAGAAATATTCCACAGGAGGCAAATATTCCTATTCCAGTCAAGTCTGACATGCTGAAGATGACACATGGGCATCATGAAGGTGAGAAATACTTGCAATCCATTTTATTCAGGTTGCCTTGTGCTCACTGATGTGTTTCCCTGTGTTGTTTTGATATGCAAAATTCTCATAAAAAGGTAGTGGAATTCTGCTGTTCGTTTTGGTGGAAATGTCTGCTATAGTCATTTGTCCATTTCTTCTTAATGTTGGCTTCCAACATTTTTATAGCTCTATGACCTATATACCCAAAAGATTGGCCTCTTTTTCTGTGCTAAACTTTATATTAACATCTTTTTAATGTTTGCCTTATCTTTTATCTATTTCCTACAAAACTGAATTATGTAATATTTCCATAGTTTTTTGGATCCCACCGCCTTGTTATGGAAGGAATTGAATGTTTACATTGAACACTAGTAGGCATATAAGCTGCAGCAACAGTATTACACAGAAGTAATCTTACCACTGCATTGCTTGGTAAACCTAGAATGGATATGCTCATTTCAGAGGAGCATTTTTTTCCCCAGTAGGGAAGTACTCAATTGTCTTCACACGCAGAGGTTAACATCATATCCTAAAACCCATTTTTCAAAAACCAAAGACAGTGATACAAGTTCCTTGCTGCAGCAGGCCAAAAAAAGAAGAGGAAGAGATTTTGGATCAGGGTGTGTGCTTGTTTATTTCTATGCATATTTTTTATTTCTGTGTTTATTTCTATTTCTGTGTTCAAAGTACAAATCTTAATTTTTTTATTCCAGTTCTTTTACTGCTACATTGTTTGGTACAACTACTATGGATAGATAAAAATACAAAATGTTCATTTTAGAGGGGCATTTTTTCCTCAGTAGGGAGATACTCAATTCTCTTCACATGCAGAGGTTAACATCATATTCTAAACCTGTTTTTCAGAAGCCAAGGATAGTGATACAAGTTCTTTGTTGCATCAGGCAAAAAAAGAAGAGAAAGAGATTTTGGATCAGGGTAGGTACTTACTTATTTCTATGTCAAGTGAAGGACTCACTAATGTAAAACACTGATAAATTATATCCTCATTGCTAATGAGTTATAAATTTTTTGTTTCTCTTTAATTGATACAATATGCGATGTTTTATGAAACTAATACAGTTTAATGCTATATAAATAATAATATAAAAAGAATAGTCTACCACTGATCTCTAACCTTGCAAATAAAATTTCTTAGTGCATTTTAATCTCATTAGTTTTTCCTGTTATTTGTTTAATTTTTCTAAGAAAGGTTATAATGTATGTGTACATGCATATATCCTATAGTAATGCTCTGCTCTTAGCTCTTCAGTAATTTCTCAGTTTGTATTACTACATATGTAACGGTATTGTACATGCAGTGAATTGAGTGCAGCTAATGTTTAATAGTGAATTTTTTTTAATTGTGTTTGTGTATATGTGCAGATATGCCTAACAACTCATGCAGAAATGTGTGTAGTATTAAGTTGCAGGAAAAAAATCCAGGACTGTTAGAAACCTTTTAGAAATATTCTGAATATTATTTATGTTTCAGAGATACATTATTACTGTACTTTAAAGTTCTTTTGATTCATATGCTATTAGATAAATAATGCTTTAGATCAAGATTTTTCTTGGCACTAAGGAGAAAATGTCTCATCAGCTACAGTTTCATACTGTTTTCATTGAACAGTGCTGAAGTTCAAAGACTAAATAAAGGCAAATTTCCTTTTGCCTTTAAGAAGAGCAAAAATTTAGAATTTTTGATAATGTCTCACAAAGGGGTTAGATTTTCTGTGTACTCTGCCACTCTGCAGAGTCAACTCAATTAAGTTACAGTTACATAAAAAGTAGCTTCTAGAGTGTAAAATCATCTTACTGAAAGTACATTGAACTTTTAGGGACAATATTTGCAATGACGTACCTGAAATTTATCTTAGTCAATTCAAGATGTGTTTTTTAAGAAAGAAAAACAATTCAAACTCCCTAAGCATGTTTCAGAACAGAATGAACTATTTGCTTCCAAATTTACATCAAGATTTATGCTGGCAAGCTGCTTCACCCTTATGTTACTAATAAGTGCTTTGACATTTGATCAAGGTTCTGGTTATCTCTGTGTTTTATTGAATTCTTTAGTGTTTTAAAAAAATATTGAAACAAGGTCCTGCTTTTAAAATCTTTTTCATTTGTCTATGAAATGTACTTCAAAGGCACGTTTCTGCAATGCAGTTTGGTTTGCTGAGACCACTGTTTAGTATATATCCTCATCTAACGTGTTTCTATGGAAACACAGTGCATTGTTTTGTCCATTTGAAATCAGTTGGGTGCATGATATGACATACCAAAATGTAGGAGTTGCCATGAGAGAATTTCATTTCATGTCCTTAATTGTTAGCTTAAGGTAAATTCTCCTGTCATTCATAGGAGCCTATCTTCAATTTTATATTGAAACAGCTCTAACTTCAGTTGAATTATATCTGAGTCAGCAAAAAAAAAAAAAAAAGCAAAAGGAAAAATCAGATCAGGTTTGGGTTTATTTTTGTCTCCAAAGAGGGAAAGTTGGGTGGCTGGTTTAGAAAGTGTGTTTTGGTGAGCACCTGATAAGATACACTGGGAAAACCAGGAGCTGAAAACGGTACGCTAAAATGTGCCTATAAAGATTACACAGCAATTGGAATCTGTTTTATGGGACAAATCCGTTTTATGTAGTTGTGCTGCCAACTTGTCCATCTCCTCAAGTAAATTTAGTGAGTCAGCCAACACTAGCCAAATTTGAACAAGACCTTAGTGACCAGAAAATTCTACAGGTTGGAGGGAGGGGCGGGTGGGAACAGAAGAAAATAGCTTGGCCACCAAGGCTAAGGTCATTATACAAATTCATACTTTCACGGAGATAAAGGACCATTCCCTTTATGGTCTGGCATGACATACTGTATTTGATAACCTTATCTACAAAACACAGAGCTACCAAAACTGAGACTTTGATTAGTTCCATTGCTCCTGAACTGTTGCTCAGTGAGTTGAGCCTTTGATTTGCTCTGAAGAAAGCACTTCAACAATTTTTCCATAATTTTTTGGTTTATCTTGCATATGTTTCTTCCCTCTGTGATTCATTATTTTGTGGCAACTTACGTTTCCCTTCTTAGTTTCGGGTGACTGAAGTAAAACACTGTTACTTCACTGAAACTGAAATAGTTGTTGAATTATGCTGCCATGGAGGTACTTACAAATCTGGAGGTTAGAGGTGTCCTCACAGAGACAATTTTCATGTCAGTATTCTTAAATCTAGCCTTTTGCCTCTAAAGGGGAAAACAAAAAATCCTGCCATGTATCTGCCTGCTAATACTGTGAATATCATATGTTGGTCTGGGCATAGGTTTAGTTGTACCTCCTGCCACACACTGGCAGTTTATTATATTGGTACCTCCAGATGTTATCATGGCTTTTATATTAAATTTTCAATTTCATCATCTTCACTCATCAGAAGCACATTAATAAGCAATGCAAATATATTGAAATCAGCAGGTAACATCGCAAAGCAAAGCAGCACTCCACATGAAGACAAAGCTAAATCCCTATTGTGTTAAAATTTAACTGAACTTACCTTAATGAAAGTGACCTCGTTATATTGTTTCTGAAACAGCAGCATCATTGTTTGGTGAAGGTAAACTGTGCATAGGAAGTGAATTATTGTAGGAAATACAATTAATTTAAACATTTGTGCATATTGCAGAGTTTGCTGTTCCTGCTGAAGCATAAGGTCCATAGTAAAACAAATACTATGTATGTTTATTTTTTGTTCATCAGTAGAAGATTCATTAAATTGTACTCAATAGAGACAGTAGTGCAAAAAAACATTTATTTGTCAGCTTTCACCATCTGTGCTATGTGTCTTTACCTGTGGAAAAAAGGCCTAAATGTGTTTCATTCTGCTTGTTCATCACTTTCCTGTCTGTAAGCTGTGGCATAATATAATGGAGTTCTGGTTTGTTTTGGTGTGCAAGCGGTGAAGCAGCCTTTACTACAGAGAAATTTCACTGCTGATGTACCTGAAAGCTGTGCATGTAAACAATAAAAACATAATAGCAAGAGTAGTTTCTTTAAAACAAGTAAGGAATAGACAGGTGATGGTTAATCATATGTCCAGTATTTAGTTTGTTGGCTGGCTCACAATTTGATATCTCATCAGATGTAATCATAACCTTTTTGAAGGAGAAGGGACAAATTTTTTTCCTGATAAAATACATATAATTATGTTCAAATGTTTTAAAGCAAAATTTGAAGATGACTTGAGTTAAAATTTCACTAGCAGCATAGAAACCAAAAATTAGATTTTGGTTTCGTTTTGGAAGAGTGTGTGTAGGCCTGTATACATTGCTTATACATATATGGGAGAGAAAAGAGAATTTTCATTTTACTTCTGTTATTATGTTTATTGTGACACTTACAAAAGTACGTTTTTACTTCTCTCTGACTTAGGGAACTTGGGAGCTAGTACCAAAATAGTTACATATTTTTTGCCTCTGATGACAAAATCTGAAGTGAGAGTCAAAGTTGCAGTTCTTTTGCTCTCAGTATTAGTAAGTTGTACTGCCAGTGTAGTGGGTTTTTCCTTTATCTCTCGTTATTTCATGATTGCCATGAGAACAAGTTATTCCAGGAGTTCAGATGGGAAAGTTCAGTGTAAGTGAACTTAATATCTCTCTTTTGAAATGTCTCAGATAGGCTCATATGAGCCCCTTTTTCACAGCTGAGTGGTTTAAGTGGAATCCTGTTAAACCTCCTATATTTAAAATAATATTACAGTTTGAGTTCAGCATTCAGAAGTTACTGAGCTGAGAAACTGAAATGTCTGAGTTGTTCAGCTGTACATTCCTGTGAAAAACTCACACAGTAAAAATGTACTGAATGAGGGTTTTTTGTATCTGGGGTAGAAATTTCCAATTGATTTAAGTGGAAGAAGAAAGTATAGCTCCTCCTTTTTCTGCCTCATCTCTGATATTTTATCTTTGCTTCCTCAAGATAAAAAAATAAAGGGCAGGGGGAACGTGAAGGGAGGCCTACAATGTCTTGTGGGATAGATGTTGAAGAGGAAAAGCAAATCAGTGTGCAGGCAGGTACTTAGTTTTTCAAGCAGAGCAGCAACTTTCAATGAAGTGGTGTATTTTTTTCATAATATTACATGACAAATCTGTGCAAGGAGCATCAACCAATATGAGACGTGATGTGTTTTTATGCCAGCACGAGTTACATTACTTTCTAAAATGAACTTGTCATAATTTTGTGTGTGGTCATAAGAAAAGAGAGGAGTTCAGTTTGGTAGGTAGTTTAAAATTCTTAGGAGAGCTCAAACCAGAAGACAGATTCACTTTCCAGTATTGATGTGGGATGCGTAGAATGAAATTATAGACAATTTTAGAACAAGACCAGAAATATAAGAAAGTCTTTAGATGTTTTCAAGTTTGAGATGCATATTTGGTGCTCAGAGATAATATGAGGTCCCTTAAATAGAGTACAAAAGTAAGATAAAAGTGACTGAATTAAACCTTGGAAGAAAATGCTACTGAAAGACACTCAGAGTGATACACACCATTAGAGAATTGTAATTAGGAAGGTTCAGAATCTCAGGGGATTTGCTTGCTGTTTCAACACTGAGTGATCTTGCTCAAAGTTGTAAATAAAAGATGAGCCTTTGATTTGGTTAGGATAAGGTTATTCATAATCTCTACAAAAGCATGTTCAGCACATACCTAAACAGGAAAAGCATATAACAAGCATGGAAAGAAGTAATTTTAAATTCACTCTTCACTGTCTGATACCTGGTTTATGTTCTCTGGTTCTTAAAATTGTAGAGGGATATTTCCTGTGTATTTTCTGTAATATAAAGGCTACTTATCAATGAAAACTACAAAAACAGCTTTTAATGTCATTAATGTGTCTGAAGAAATGGAAAGCGTACACTGTATTAGTAGAGGAAGAGTTCCGAGAAATTATGTAATCGTATCACAAATTTAAACCAAACCGACATTATTTATTTATTATTATTGTTGTTGACAAAATGTTTTCCCTTTTTATAATTTTCCTGTCTTTTCATGTTTTTTTTTTTAATAAAGCATAATGAGGGTTAAAAGAAAGAAATTGAAGATAGCAGAACTACTCTTCATAATAAACATACCCTCACATATGTTTTGTGAGACTAAATGTATTTAAAAGTATGTACTGCATGAAATAGAAATTTGAATGGAACTGGTGTACCCTGTGCCTGAATAATCAATGTCTGTAACATATTGAAATGAACACAGCAAGGTCCTGTGTAGTAAAACCATTGTATTTATTACTAGTCATCTAGCAGTAGCTGATGAATATATTTTATTGTAACAAAATGATTGGTGCTTGTCATGAACTTACTACTGGTTGGGAAGGAAAGAAAAGAATAGGGCAGTTAGGTATCTATCTGCAAGAGACTTTGGGTTTGAGTCTCAAGTTCTGCTTTGTTGATGAAGAACACGTGTCTGTAACAAGGTGTGATCCTCAGTGAAGATTCTTTGTCTTCCTTCATACTGAGCTTTAACATTTCCCAGTTACAAACTCCTATAACACATTAATTTTAAAAACATGTCCCTTTGTTAGGGACATGCAGACAGTGAAAAAAAGAGAAAATTAATTTTTTTTTTAACTTTTCTTCTTTTTTTAGCTCTGTAAGCTGCTTAGAAATGCCTTGAGAGCAGATGTGATTCCTGATTCTCCAGACGTGTCAGTTTGGCTGTGCTATAAGTGCACATTACTTAGGGCAGTGAGGATGGCCAAGAATCTCTGTAGCAGCTTAATCTTTTCATTTCCTATCTATTTCTTTCAGTCCCTCAAATCCCTTTAAAAAGAAAACAGCCTTAATATTACATAATATTTTTTTGTTCTCATGAATCCTTGCAATGCTTTCATCAAAGCAACAGAGTCTATCATGATTTGCATGAAAAATAATAGCGGACTAGAAGACATTTTGGAAGTTGTTTTGGCCTGTTACGTCAAACTGTGTCCAGTGTCATTTGAAACAGGCATTAGACTTTGTTCACTTATGCAAAGTCTTTCCTTGTCTTTCTTCCCTTCTTTTCTACCAGCAATGTTGTAGGAGCCAAAGATGGCAAAGGAAAATAATATAACATGGACATTACATGAGATTCAGAGTGAGCCAAAGTCATAGTTGTAGTCCATGTCGTGTAGACCATGATTTCTGTACTTAGGAAGAGGCAGAATCCCTGACCACTTTTGCGAGCTGAACTTACTAAATAAGATACACACAGTCTTAGAATACACTCTATTTTATTCAGAGATAATTGGGAAGCTCAAAGTCAACTAGGAAAGGTTGTTTCCTGATCCTATTAGGATAGGACCAAGTCATAAGTTTGGAAGGAACACATAAAGTCTAGAATACCAGTAAGAGGCTGGGGAGCCTATCTGAACCTTCTCAGTGAAACACTATGATAAAAATACAGATTCTGGAGATGAAAATTCTCAGACACTGCTACAGTGTCCTGCCTTTTTTTCTAAAATGCAGCAAAATGAGTTTCACCTATGTATCTTAACAGGTGCTCATTCAGGCTCTCTGGACAGGCTTACCATGGCTGAAATTCCCATCTATCTAGCTTGATCCTGCAGCACCATGGCTAGATACTTCATCTAAACTGGAAACTGGTGCTTCCAACGGCACAATGGTGTGCTGCTGAAGGACCATGGACAGCGACTGCTCACTGCAAATTGGGGAACTTGTCCTCTAGCATTGGAAAAAAAAGGACTGGTTTTAGATATAGAATCGTAGAACATCTTGATTTGGAAGAGACTTATAAGGATCATTAAAACCAACTCCCTGCTCATCACGGGACTACCTAAACCACATGACTAAAAACATTACATAAATAAACTGCTTTATTAACCTTAAACTAATCTGACTTTGTATGGAGATCAGATGAAGTTCCCCTCATGTTTTTCAATGAAGTTGCCAATGTTATGATTTTGTTTGTATGACTGTTTACCAAAACACTGTTCTGTAAAAGAGTTTTGGTAGTGTCGAACCACCGTCAGAAGTTTAAACTTACTGGAATATGGTTGTGCATCGTTTAATTCTGAAGATGCTGGTCTTGACTTCTATCACTTCTTCCAGAAGAGAGTAAACTTGTAGGTATTTGTAACCAATCATCTTTTTTGTAGAACAAAGTGTTCTGATAGCTTACCCATAAGAGGTGCCTGTGAGTATTCTCTCTGAAAGTGACCTAATCAAGCAACTTTGCAGAGACTGCACTGGTAGAATTCAGTTTTTTCAATAAGAGCGAGTTGTTTATTCACCCATGTCTTTGTCTAGTCACACCCAGGCATTTTAAAGGCCAGGCTGACTCATCTCAAACAAGACCAAACAGATGACACATTGCATCTCACTGGTGTTCCTTTCCCACTGAGTATCTTCGGGCAAGCAACGTCTTTCAACTGTTCCAGCTGGTACAAGACAGCTGTAAAGCAGCAACACAAGATTGTGCTTTGATGTTTGCTGGATATTGCTTTGCAGAGAGCAATTGTTAATCAGAATCAACATGAGTCTGCCCTTTGCTAGTTAGCCCGTAGTGAATTCTGAGCTACTTTGTAAAATTACGCTGCTTACAAATTTATTGGAATCTGCCTGGAGATCACGAGCAAAGCCGAAAAATGTTGGTCCCAGATAATATTGGACCTCCATTCAATGTGTGGAATTCAAGCTACAGCTCCGTACATTAAGTAATCAGGAAACTTAAATTCATCACTTTCACATCTGCACACATCTGTGCTATGTAAATACTCTCAAGTTGATCTAGATGCCAAAAAATTGACAGAAGACTTCAACCTTGTATTTGTGCCAAGAATGTGGAGGTTCTGGGCAGATATGTAGATGGATGTCTTTTAGACTTAAGAGATTTCATACTTGTTTCTTCAAACGCATTACTTTAGGAAAGGGTTGCAATTCAGGACACTTCCACACTCTGAGGCACACCTTTTTCATACGCACTGACAGTTCCTAAATGTTCTTAGCTGCTGTGGTTACAGAACCCCTACTTAATGAAAGCACCAAAAGGACAAGCTCAGCTTGGAAAACATCTCATTTATAGCCACTAATTGCAACATATTCAAAACTGCCTTGCTCTGTACTCCACTGTTTGACGGTTCCTCATATATTTTATGATTATTGAATCAATGCTAGGAGAAAACCAAAAAGAAAACCAAAAGATCACCCTACTTGGATTAACAGCTTCCATAAAGACTACTAGAATTTTTTATGAAAGCACCTTTTCTTAAAAATTGTTCCCTGGACTTGCCTTGTTTTTAAGTTGAATTCCCTTGCTGTCTTTTATTCATGGCCTTTATTAAGCCCTATGTTGTACCAGTTTGTTTTGTGGGAGCTAATATCAGACAAGTAAAACACTTTTTGATGTTTTGTTTTTTTGTTGCTTGTTGTTTTTCTTTTAATCAACATGGAGTATCTATTTTAAAGGGTGAGTTAATTATTCTGTGGTAACAATTGCACAACTGAGGTAGAATGCAATGCCTTTGACTGAAGCATGAAGCCGTCAAACTTCTTTACTCAGGTAGAGTGAGCATATGTGCTGAGAGTTAGGGTTCTGAAACCTTTATATAAACTGTAGTTTGCTTTCCTTTTGCAACCAGTAATTACAAGTTAGTTGATTAGACCGTTGGCACAGAAATAGGAGAGAGTGAACTGGGCAACTATCACTAAACTTGCTTTAAAAAGGCCTGCAGTTTAAAATAGACCAGACTTGCTGATTAAAGGGGGATTTTTCACAGTTATGTTGGCCAGAACACTGCTTTTACCACTGAGACCTCTCATTGGAAATAATTGCTTGTAGGGAAGTCAATTGTCTTGTGGGTCTCCAGCCATAGATAAAACTAAAACATTTGGACATATGAAACTCATTTTTTTAAAATGTTGGGAAAAAAGGCCAATATAGAGTATTTTAGTACCAAATGTTTCCTAAGTAAAGGAAATTCCAGCCGTGTTTCTACTTCAGCACCAATTACTGGATGCTTTAAGTAGAGACTATTGAACCTGATTAATGTAATTGGAAACCTTTCTCAGAATAAATAGGGTTTGTATCCACTCTGATATCATACTTTTTAAGTATTTGGATTTGTTTTGAATCAGTACTTATACTCATTGAATGACAAGATTAAGATGATGGAGTGCTCTAGCTTCACAATTGCCTTTGAAGCAAATATTTCATATTTGTTATGTAGCTTAACGACTTTCTCTCTTCTCTAATTTGCTTTGTTAATTTCATTGAAATGGACCTTGTTTCTTCAGTAATTATTTTCTGACAGAAGATGTCACCTGGGATGTTTCCTTTTCAAGGGCAAGGAATGGAACCCTACTCAAAATCATTGAAGTGGGACTGTTTAATAATATGACAGATCCTTTTAGGTTCATTTACAAAAGACTTAATTTCCTCTGTCCTAGGCTGCAAGTCGTGATTTCTGGTTCTGGATGGCTTTTTGTTTTTTGTGTTTTTTTTTTTTTCCCTCTGTTTCAGTTTTCTTGTTGTTTGTTTCTTGTGAAAGCTTCATTAGTGGTAGTTTTGCTTTTCTAGAAAATGTCTTATATAGCCTGCCATGAAATAATGCAGATTTTTAATTGAGTGAATTGTAGTTGCAATACAAGTATTCCTACTTGCATTAACTCTTAAAGCACATTGAATGTCTCTTTCCATTCAAATGACACAGTTGATTTTAAGCCAAGATAATTGGTTAATAAATTCTGTTTTCTTTTTTTGTGCTTTGAGCTATTATTCTGGAATTAACTGAAATTCTTGTTGATGCTTAAGAAAGTTATAGGGATAAAAATACTGTTCCCTGCATTGCCAGATGGTATCATGACTAAGGACTTATCATTTGGATTAAGTGGAGGGACAGGACTCAGACTGAATTAATAAATGCAAGTTTAATGGATCATTCTACTTTACTACTTTGTCTTTTTTCTACAGTGGGTGCTATGGAATCTGTTTGCAAATGTGAAATTTTGTTTTTTTACAGCCTAAGCTTCTTATACATGACAGATTTCAAAAACATATGCTTTGAAATGTATTATGATGGTCTATTATTGTCTTTGTAAGTGAAAAATTGATAAAACTATACAATTTTTCCCGCTTTGTTTTGTGAAAATATAGTAACTCCGCAGTGGCCTGGCAAATCTAGATAATTCCATCATAAACATTCTTTTACTTAAATGTGCATACTATTTTCTTTCTCCTTTTATCTTTTCCCTTTCCCTTTTTCTTTTTCTCTTGTTCCATGTTTCCAAGAACATTTGTGCAAAGGTGATGGTTTTTCGGTACCAGAGTATCAGGTAAAAGTGGGAATTTATATGTGATGTAAAGTCAATAACAATTTGAGTTTATTTGAAACTCATTCAGTTCCTGAGGCTGGAACAGTTCCTCTTTCCTACTTTTACCAATAACGGAATAACTTTGTTACCATATATTTTGCTGAAGTTTTCTAAAATTACACAATTCGTTTTAATTGTTTCTCTTCCTCCTTTCCTGTTATCTTTTCTCTTTTCTGTACAGGTGATTTCTATTCACTCCTTTCCAAGCTGCTAGGAGAAAGGGAAGATGTTGTGCACTTGCATAAGAATAAACCTACAGAAAAGGCAGAATCAGATCTTGTAGCTGAGATTGCTAATGTAGTCCAAAAGAAGGATCTTGCCAGAGAGATCACAAATCATGATGAGAGGGATGATACTATTCTTCTCAGAGACAGAATTCACAAATTTCACAGACTAGAATCTACTTTGAGACCACCAGAGAACAGACATTTCTCTTTGCAACAGTCTAAACATGGTGAGGGAAGCTGGGAAAAAGAACATACAGGAGGTGGGTTAGGTGTTAATTTTATACAATGAAATGCACTGTAAGAGCTGTGATCCACATTAGCAAAATCTGAAGGGAATATCAGTTGAGGCATGGTGAAAATATTTTACACGGCAGTTTTCTTTATTATGGAGGTGTTCTCCCTCTGTTTTAGAGGTGTTTCATTGGGGTTCTTTCCCCTCCATGTGTCAAGAAAGAAAGTTTAGTGATGGCACAATACCAGTAGTTTCTGGACAAGAGAGTATTTTTCCTACTCTTAAGACTTTTACTTAATGATTTTATATCAGTTATACTAAAACAAGATAAATACAGGATATAGTAGTCACAGGAAATTAAGAACTTTAATACAAGTAACTTCTATTAAATGTTCGATGGAATAATCAATACATTTTATGAGTTTTCTGATTACCTTGGTTTGTCAGATACACAATTTTATAAAATGTATTGCTGTAATTCTATCAGATATATTTTCTCCCATTCAGAAGCAGCAGTAGTTAATCCTGAAAAATTATTGAGGAGTAAAATTTTATGCATATTGATTTCAAATTGGGCTTGACTATTCAAATATTCTCAGACAGGCTGTTTTATTATTCTAGAGTTGCAATTATTTCCCTTCAGGTTTCTAAGACAGCAGAAACCATGGAACTATTGTGTTTGTTTTACTTGTGTTTTGGTCTCTGTGATATTGACTGTGTTAAGCCTTACCTGCTAATGTGGAAAGTCATATAATACAGCATATGACAAGCATCTCATAAAGTAAACTGGAATATATGCATGGAAGCCATCTGTATGCATAAGCTGTGGCCACACATGCCTGCTTTTTTTGTTGCAACCACACAGCCTGATGTTTCTAAGTACTCTTGTACACAAATGTATATCATTCATAATCCACTTGATTTTTATTTCTATTTGCAATGTTAACATGTATTGTCTCCACTTATATGAGATTCTGTTACAATAATCAAGCTTAGCAAAATCCTGGATTTGTGTTCAACTGAAAAGCAAAGACAAGGACTTTCCAATGCTATGTTATGCTATGCAGTTAAAGTAGATCCCGTTGACATAGGGGCAAAAAAACCAGGTGGGATGTTACCATGTGCCTGACATAAGTGTAAATCATAAATAATTCCATAAACCTCACTGGAATTAAATGCTCAGAAGAGTAATGTGCATGAGCATTTCTGCAAAAGGAGTTAGTT